TGCAAGATTGACAGTTACAAACATGACTCGGAAAGGCAAAGACATGAAGGGACTTTTGGTTTCGCAACAGCTGGATGGCCGCCAGTTTCATACCCCTGCCTTAGGGGTTAGAGGGAGGTTTGGGGGTAATTTTAGGGATATATATATATTTTATTTCCCCAGAGTAGTCTGAGTAACCAGTCGTTCTCGGCAATGGAAACCCATGCCGAAAAACACCAGCAATGGATTCCTGGCTCAATAAAATGCATCATCCATTGCATGCATGTATTTTAACAGACAAAATGTGCTCTTGTTTTCACCGTAGTGGATACGTTGGTGTGTGACTAACACACAAGCAGAAACAGAAACAAAACCTCCTGCCAAGATCAAAATTCAGCGGGTTGAACCATAACTGAAAGTTCATCCAATAGCTGATCAAAGGTTGTGCAGTTCTAACACAAGGCTGGGGAGCCCAATATCAGCTGTAACAAAAAACAAAAGAGCTCTGAGGAAGAAGGGATCCCCCTTCGAAACACGTCAACTTTATCCTGAGAGTCTCCCCTCTTAATGGGACCCGCATGTGTCTGCTATTCCAGTGCGCTGATGTTGGATTTATATGTTTTTATAATTTGCTACTTTTGTGAGTACTTTTGTGAGTACTTTTGTGAGTATATATCTCAATTCAATAAATTCACCCTTTATTCAGTGAGGTAATGCGCAACATTGGTGCGCTCTTGTTTTTGTTTTTTGTTACAGCTAATAACACACAAGCATTGGCATGCTTTTTGAAATTGCCCTGCAATGTATTTTTACACATGCTGCAATATGTTTATTTTTTAACTTTTGTTTTTTTGAAACATTGCAAGTGTCCCACAAATATACAACACGTCATTTTTTTCAGCATACACCAATGCTCTGCAAACTGAAACAGTAAGAAATAAGACCATTAGCCTTGGTCTTATATTGGGACAGCATTCCTTGACACAGCCCAGCGTTGCTGGTCTGAATGAACCCTAATGTGAATTTGATATAAGCTATCAGTAGAGTGGCGTTTTTCAGCATTCAAATACCACAGCGGACACAAATACACTCTAATTCCGGTTACTGTATAAAGATGTACTGTAGAACTTGTGTAGCACAAAGCTGCTTACTAACATATCAAATGAGAACAATTTAGTAATGCTGTTTGCTTTACTGATTATGATGCATAACATGTATTCTACATTCATCATATCGAAACAGGAATGTATAAACACTTAGAGTATGCTAAATGAAATGACAAAAGTTATCTCATGTCTTCATTCTCAGATTAATGGAGTTTAAGTGTTTGTCTGGCAAAATATAAACACAGGCAGTACAAGTCTGCAATACCTGCACATTTTCCGATGTTTTTTTTTTCTTCAAAAGTGCAGAAAAATACCAGTTAATCCTGCTGGAAATCCAGTGAGCTCCCAGCTTCCTGTTTGACCTGACAGCACAGTACTGTTGCTGCCGTGAAGTTCCCAAGCAGTGTTGTTCGTCCCACAAAGTTCTCTTTAGCTGAACTACAAAACACCTCCTCTGCTTATCTTCATAACATAAGGGAGGGAGATCACCCAGCCCAGCAAAGGTGAACTGGGTAGGACTCATGACACTACTTGGGATTTTAAGGCAACACAAACCGAAGGATCAAGAATTTAGGAGCCTATTGGAATCTAACAAAATTAGCAGATATTTGTTTGGTCTTGTAGTGTTTTCAAAGAGATTAAAAAATATGGGGAAATGTGCATGTATTGCTATGATATACTGAATATATTTTTTGTTAATTTTGCGTAGACATAAAGAAGAGAAATAGAAAGATACTGTACTTTCTAGTGTACGTTCTATTATTGACAAGGAATGATGGAGACAGTCTAGTAGGATATTTATATCAGGACCATGAGAATGAGAAACAAATAGAAAAGTAATGAAAATAGGGCAAAGAAAAGGGGAAAAAAGAAGAAGAAATGAATAGGAGCAAAGTTGAATAAGGGGGGAAGAGAAGAGGCAGGAGAGGGGGAGTGGTCAGGAATAAAGGGGAGGGGAGGGAATTGTTTGCATCTTTCATTCCAGCCATGATTAGACAGCAATGTCAGCCACAATACCTAATATCTAGTAAATCGCAAAACTCTTGAGAAAACAGTTTTTATAAAACTGAAAACTACAAATAAAAATCAATTAATTCCACTCAGCCCTCAGCTATACAGTGGATATAAAAAGTCTTCACACCCCTGTTAAAATGTCAGGTTTCTGTGATATAAAAAAATGAGACAAAGATAAATCATTTTAGAACTTTTTCCACCTTTAGGCTAGGTTCACACTCGTGCAGTACATTGCGTGTGATTCGCACAGGAACTGCACCGCAGTCCTGTGCAAATCACATGCGAATTGTGTACAGTGCGATTTAAGCCATACATTATGTATGGCTCAAATCGTACCAAAAAGGTGCAGGGCTCTTTTTTGGGTCTGCACTAGAATCGGATCGCATGGGTATTCACACCTATGTGATTTGATTCTGCACATCGCACTGCATTTTGCGGACCGATTTCAGGGTGCTGTTAACTTAACATACACGCCCGCATTGGTACGCATGAATGGGGTGCGATTCTGATGCGGTGCGGAATTCACACAGAAATTGCGAATTCTGCACCACATCAGTGTGAACCCAGGGTTAATGTAACCTATAAACTTTACAACTTGAACAATATACTGAAATCTTTTAGGTGGGAGGAAGCAAAAATGAAAACTAAAATAAGTTGCATGAGTGTACACTCCCTTAAGCTAATACTTTGTTACACCTTTTGATTTTATTCTAGCACTCAGTCTTTTTGGGTATGAGTCTATCAGCATGGCACATTTTGACTTGCCAATATTTGCCCACTCTTCCTTACAAAAACTCTCCAAACTCTCCCCTGCACAGCCCTCTTCTGATCACCCCACGGATTTTGGATTGGATTCAGGTCTGAGCTCTGGCTGGGCCATTAAAAAACTTTAATCTCCTTTTGGTGAAGCCATTCCTTTGCTGATCTGGATGTATTCTTTGGGTTGTTGTCATGCTGAAAGATGAAGCTTTCTAGCAGAAGCCTGAAGGTTTTGTGCCAATATTGACTGGTATTTGGAACTGTTCATAATTCCCTCTACCTTGACTAAGGCCCCAGTTCCAGCTGAAGAAAAACAGCCCCATAATGCTGCCACCACCATGCTTCACTGTGGGTATGGTGTTCTTTTGGTGATGTGCAGTGTTGTTTTTGCGGCAAAGATATCTTTTGGAATTATGGAAAAAAGTTCAACCTTGGTCTCATCAGACCATAACACATTTACCCACATGCTTTTTGGGAGACTTCAGATGTGTTTTTGCAAAATTTATCCGGGCTTGGATGTTTTTCTTCGTAGGAAAGGCTTCTGTCTTGCCACTCTACCCTATAGCCCAGACATATGAAGAATACGTTCTTATTATCACATGTATCACACTGCCAGTACTTGCCAAATATTCCTGCAGCTCCTTTAATGTTGCTGTAGGCCTCTTGGCAGCCTCCCAGACCACTTTTCTTCTTATCTTTTTTTCAGTTTGAGAGGCGTCCAGTTCTTGGTAATGTCACTGTTGTGCCATATTTTCTCCACTTGATGATGACTGTCTTTACTGTGTTCCATGGTATATCTAATGCCTCGGAAATTCTTTTGTACCCTTCTCCTGACTGATGCCGTTTAACAATGAGATCCCTCTGATGCTTTGGAAGCTCTCTGCAGACCATGGCTTTTGCTGTAGGATATAACTAAGAAAATGTAAGGAAAGGCCTACTAGAACAGCTGAACTTTATTTGGGGTTAATCAGAGGCACTGGAAATGATAAGTATGTCATCCTATTTAACATGATTTTGAATTTGATTGCTTAATTCTGAACACAGCTACATCCCCAGTTATAAGAGGGTGTGCACACTTATGCAACCATATTATTTTAGTTTTTTTTATGTTTACTCTCCCCCCTAAAAGATTTCAGTTTGCTTTTCAATTGAGTTGTACAGTTTATAGGTCATATTAAAGGTGGAAAAGGTTCTGTGATTATTTATCTTTGCCTCATTTTGTTAACATCACAGAAACCTGACATTTTAACAAGGGGTGTGTAGACATTTTATATACATTGTATTTACATTTTCAGACATCAATTGTTAATAACATCAAACTTCAAAAGATAAAAATCACAAACGAAAGTTTAAAAAAACATTAAGCTTATAAGGGAGAAAGAACAACTCTGATACACTATTATTTCCTTTATTCCATTACTTGGGAATAAAGTATTATTATTTACTAATGGTGGAAGCTCTTCCTTAGAAATCAGGAGGCAAGATCTTCAATGGTGGGAAATATTTTCAGTCTGTAATTAGGATTTAAGTGCCCCCAAGGGAAACTGCAATGCTTTAGTTCTTTTTTTTTTTAATTGCATTTCTTTATAGATGTTTGCAAATTCGATGTGTTATATTATTTTTGTAATTCTTCGTATAATGACTTTATTTTTCAAAAAAAAACTTTCTTATAGAATATATTCACAACACTTGGTTTGCAAAGCAAACTGGGTGCTGTGATAAGAAATCCCAACTGTATTTGCAAGTTTTTTTGCCTTCCTGGGTGAATTTACATCACTGCTGGGAAAACTTGTGGAGTTGACTGATATTCAGGTCTAGTTTTTAGCAATAGAGTTGCACAGGGAGCCTTTATGAACCTCCTGCATTGTGCTCATCTTGTTGGCTGCAATTGGTAAATTAAAAATATATTCATATGCAATATCTAATATTTACCCGATAAAGCAACATTTTTATTTTTTGGTATTGAACATTATCTCTATCCTCTGCTGAATGGGTGTCTTGTATTACACTACATAGCCTTACACCTACCTGGTATGTATTAAAAATGTTTTCTGATACAGTGTTGCATCAATTTAAAACTTTCAGGTTCTTTTTATTTCCAAGCAGATTGCATATAAAACCAGACTATGTATTTGTTTCTAGAGCATCAAAATTACTTTGGAATAGATGAGCATTTGGGACCTGTAGCAGTCAGTATTCGCAGGGAGAAGGTTGAAGGTAATAGAGAAAAAGAAGTGTCTCCATTCTGCTACCGGATTGCTTTCCGAACCAGCGAGGTAATCTTTTTATTAAAACGTGTTTCTCTGCTTTCTTGGATAAATGTTTGCAGTGTTTGACCTTTGACTGGGTAAATGAATGGTGGGATCCATGAGTTTAAATTGCAGTTGGTCATGTGCATATATGAAAACCTTAAGTGGGAACAAATCATGGTGGGATTTATGCAAGAATATTAATATTTACTCTTAAGTTATTAGAACTGTTTACATTTACAGTGTCATTTTCTACATTTACCCCATTGTTTACCTTATTTAATTGTATTGTATGAACCTGACATGTTAGGTTGATAGTGAGGGTATCCCAACACCTGAAAATTCATCAAAAAATGTCAGATAAGGGAGCAATGTTGTTAAGCAGTATTAAACCCACAGGCAAAAATGTAATATATTATGGTGAACCAATCCTTAAGTGCGGTGAAAGCATTCCTTTTTTTTTTTTTTTTTTTTTTTTTTTTAAACATTTTTTTTCCTTTTATTTTCATCTGGTGATCCAGCCAGTAACACTCTACATGTCTTAGGATGTCTCCACTCTGGATGGAGGAGCAACAGAGACACCATTGGATAGCAGGATTGCATTGTCAGTCTGGAAAGAGTGGTAAATGCACTAGAAGATTTAGATAGACTTGACCAATAAATTAAAGCAGAACTTTAGTTAACAATTTTTAAGCAGATACTGCAACATTTTGGCAGGATAACCAGAGAAAATAATTTAAAATAAAGCCTAAAAGAAGAAAAGGTACGCAGCCAGCACCTCTAGAAATTGGTAAGCTGCAATGTAATACATTATTCTTTTCAGTTTTAATACCACTTTAACCAGTTGCCGACCGCAGATAGCCGAATGACGGCTACACTGCGGCCGGCCAGTTCTGGGAGGGCGTCATATGACGTCCTCCCAGAACGCTGTCTCCTGCGCGCCCCCTGGGATCTCCGTGCGGACACAGCTGATCACGTGATGTGGTAAAAGGCCAATCACAGCAGCTTTTTACCACGTGATCAGCCGTGACACGCTGATCACACGGAAATGCAATTGCAGCTTCTCGGCTGCACTTTCCTCACGCTGTCAGAACGTGGGGAAAGTACTGCCAAGAACCAGCAGTTGTCAGAGCAGGGATCGGCACCGATCATCAGGGCACTGATGATCAGTGCCCTGATGATCGGTGCCCAGCAGTGCCACCCACCAGTTCCTCCCACCTGTGCCCAGCGGTGCCGCTCACAAGTGCCCAGCGGTGCCACCCACCAGTGCCAAGCAGTGCCACCTACATGTGCCCATCAGTGCCACCCACCTGTGTCACCCACCTGTGCCCATCAGTGCCACCCACCTGTGTCACCCAACTCTGCCCATCAGTGCCACCCCCTTGTGCCCATCAGTGCCACCCACCTCTGCCCATCAGTGCCACCCACCTGTGCCCATCAGTGCCACCCATCAGTGCAGTGCTGCCAGTCAGTGCCCAACAGTTGCGCCAGTCAGTGCCCAGCAGTTGCGCCAGTCAGTGCCCAACAGTGGCGCCAGTCAGTGCCCAGCAGTGCCGCCAGTCAGTGCCGCCTATCACTGCTGACTATCAGTACCCATCATCAGTGCCGCCTATCAGTTTCACCTATCAGTGCCGCCTATCCGTGCCACCTCATTAGTACTGCCTATCAGTGCCCTTCAGTGCTGCCTATCAGTGCCCATCAGTGCTGCCTATCAGGGCCCATCAGTGCTGCCTATCAGTGCAGCCTCATCAACGCACATCAGTAAAGGAGAAAAATTACCTGTTTGCAAAATTTTATAATAGAAACAAAGAAATCTTTTTTTTTTTTTCAAATTTTTTGCTCTTTTTTTGTTTATAGCGCAAAAAAAAAAAACCCCAGCGGCAAGTAAATACCACCAAAGAAAGCTCTATTTGTGAGAAAAAAATTATAAAAATTTCATATGGGTACAATATTGCAAGACCACGCAATTGTCATTCAAAGTGTGACAGCGCTGAAAGCTGAAAATTGGCCTGGGCAGGAAGGGGGTAGAAGTGCCCAGTAGGCAAGTGGTTAAAGAGGAACTAAACTCTGCAAGCTGTGCCCAAAGTAGGCAGACAAGAGGCTAAGAAATAGTCACCAGCATTGCCTATGGTCTCGCTTTTGGAGGTGGCCGTCTTAGTAGAGGGTGGACTTTTGCTACCTCATTTACGAGCCTCCAGCAAGGAGAATATCGAGCAGCACAATAGTGAGATCAATAACATTTACTCTGTGATCAAGCCTGTACTGAATAAAATGTTAGGGAGGGTGGTTTTGGGCATGGCAGAAGTGTGCTATTTCCAGTTTTAATAAAGTTGGATGTAAACTGATGTCATCAGTGTATGACTTCCTGCTTTTCTATTATAGTAAATCTTAATTTTTGAGTTCAGTTCAAGTTTAAGAGGTACATACAACATCATGGCTCTGTTATGTGGCACTGTTATGCACTCTTAGAAGCTAAGAGCCAAGAGAAAATGAGTAGGAAATTGACGTGGTTACAAATGGCATCCAGTCAAAATTCTTATTATCTTCTTATTTAGTTTTACATATAATAAAAAGACAAGCCTTCCTAAATTAGAGGTTATAGTTGGATTGATCTTTCTTTCCCATCATCACAATTCAGTATCTTCATGGTCACTGCTGGCATTTCTGTCAGACATAGAGTGGATTCATTGTTATCCCCAATAGGCAGCTTAGAGAACATCTCTATCCTCCTCTCCAACATCCACAAAATGACCTTGTCTTCTTCCATTCTGCTTATTAAGGCCCCAACAGCAGCACTGAGATTTGTGTTCTTCCTCAGCTTTATGCAGTAATGGCAGTGCTTGACAAATACATATTGAGATACACATATACAGCAATACCAGATAACAGCTAGGCTACATAGCATCTGTAAGGAGAGGAAGGAGGACAAGCAAGGAGTGCAGCATATGATGCTCTGTGTCACACTTTGGGAATCTGTGAAATGTAGCTCTTCCAGGTCTGCCTCTGCCTGGTCCCTTATGAAGAAAAGCTGCACTTTATGTAGAACGCAGGGCATATTAGGATCAGTAGCAATCTTATTTCCCTCCCTTTCATATACACTAGTTTACAGATCTCTTCTCTTTCCCTTCGTTTTGGTATTTAATGTACTTACTGGAAGTGTGAACATAAATCCACTTTATATTTTTTATGTATTTGTAGAAGTCACATTTTTGTGAATTGCAGTTGTATTCTTTTAATTTATATATATATTTTTATGTTATGTACTCAGCTTGGGTGTTTATTCATAATATTATTCTGAAAACTGAGAACCAAGTCTTTTTTCCTAAGGAATTTGAGACTTTAGGTCACTTTTTGAAGATAGTGTCTAGATTTCCCCCATGCTGCTTGTGTTCCAGTATCCAAGATGCAGGAGACTTTCTTTGTAAACTAGAATTTAAGAGACACCTAAGTGCCAAAGCAGCTCCAAAAATAGCACAGTGTGTGTTGGTGTGTCGCAAAACCCCTAGGAGTGTTGCCAACCTACCAGATTGAACTTCACTGACACAACACCCAAATTTTACTGGCACAGCCAAGTATTTTAAAAGCAGGCATTTCCAAAAGTAAAAAAAAAATTGTTTTAAGTACAAATTTCGGTATTTAGTCTACAAACAAATACAATATGCAATTAGTAATGTGATTGCAAAAAACATATTTCTTATTTTATTTTCGATACTAAGTAAGTAACTCAGGGAGAGGACTCAGGAGGGCAATAAATTAGAATGGGCAGTCACACACACATGAAATTGACTCACAGTGATACTGACAGCAGTGTACAGCAGCACAGATGATGATGACACCTCACCAACATGCCGTGTCCCCTCCAGAGTCACAGTGGTAGTCTCTTTCCACACCAGGTGGCCCCTTCAGTCCACTCCAGTCCAAACAGCACCATTCCCGGTTTGTTTTGCTCCAATCCCGCAGACCCACACACGAGGCTTCAGCTGTTTTGCTTGGTTCCCTTGCACCATGACATAAAATGGCATGCTCAGGCACCACCTCTGCCAGACCTGCCCCCCACCAGTGCCACCCAAACACACTGTAACAGGCACTCGGATGGTCTGGTCCGAACCGAACGTCATATTTTTAACTGGCAACTGTTTCCTGTCACTAGCAGGAGAAAAGTGACCATATTTTACTGGCTGCCAGTAAAAATACGGTTGGCAACACTGACCCCGAGGCATTCTTTGGAAGTTCCTAGTAGGCTTATGGTACCCTTTAGAGCAGGGGTAGGCAACCTTTAAGAGGTGGATAATTGACTGAACAACATAGAAGTCATCAAAGATTACCAAGGTAAAAGGCCATTTTTTTTAATAAAAAGAAATGAACTAGCAAGGCCCCCATAAAAGTAAGGACGGCATGAATAAAACATTGAAAACTATAATACAACAAATGTTACTGTAAAAAATATAAACTTGGCCTACCGTAAAAGTCAACTTTAGTAAGGAATCTTGCATTCACATTTTTTTTCATGTATGGAGAGTCATTGGTCACACCACAAGTTTGTTGCAGGACTTCTGGTAGTGCAGGCTGACATGCTTCATTAGTTTCAGACCTGGCTGGTCTCAATTCTGGCTTGGCTATCTAGTCTGAGTTCTGGCCCAACTGGCTAGGTTGAGTTCTGGTCAATGTAAGTAGTATGTAAAGCAGTGTAGAGAGGCCAGTAGAATGTATTGCAGTGTACAGGGATCATTAGTATGTAAGGCAGTATACAGGAGTTAACAGTTTCTAGAGCTCAGTACAGGGGTCATGAGTATGTAGGGCAACGCACAAAGGCCAGTAGTTTGTAGGGTAGAGTACATGGGGTCTGTAGCTTGTAGGGCAGTGTACAGAAGTCAGTAGTTTGTAAGACAGAGTACAGAGGTCAGCAGTTTATGGCAAGATTATAGGGGATATCAAGGCAGAGTACAGGGGTCTGAATAAATAATAGGCAACACTCCACACAGCTAATTTTTCCATTTTCATGTAAAGACATAACAGTAAGTTGTAGT